ACGCTTCCGTTACACACCCCATTGCCAGTACCATGTGATCTGTGACTAATCACAGCAGGTCACATGACAGTTGTATACAATGGATGGCATGAAAGGAAGCAATCCAATGTATTCAAGTGCGTCTAGCTGTGAATGGTCATAGTGATCATGCACAGGCTGGGCCAATTACAGCCCAACTGTTTCATGTGATTAGCCATGGCTGTCATGGTCGCCCGATCGCCACCCTCAACATGCGACAATCGCACGACCGCGACCAACAAGAATACGTCACGCCCGCGGCGTCAGACCCCAGACCTTCTCACCAAACTCATGACCAAAGGACCGGCCGATCTAAAACCGCAATGTGACGTGCGTAACAATGCCACACTCAGCTGCGCCCTGCATGATTGTCCAGCTAATGGAACGCAATCGACGCACCGGCAGCCTGAATGCGCTTGTTACTGGGTCGGGTTACTTACGCAACTAACCCTTCACTGCCACCACCCCTTTTTTTACAGAGAAAGGGGAAACTATCAAATATACACTGTAATGGTTGAAAAGTCGCCTGTCCAATACGGTCACTGCAGGTCGATTGGGCAAAGGATTAAACAAACACAGTAGCGTCTCTTCAAAAGGCAGGAATTTGTGAATTGCAAGTAAGCACTTAGAAACCGTTTGACTCTTTGTAAATATTTTATTGCACCTGTTTAACACTTTCAGAAAAAGATTTATTACAAAGAAAATGTAACTAGATATATATTTATATATAAAAAATAGGAAACAGCCCAGGACAGCAAAGTGATAACAGGAAGAAGTTAAGGTTAAGTTACTTGCCATGTTAAGCCTTAAGGTAAGCAGATCCAAGTTGCAGAGCGGAAAGGGTCTTTGATCTCCTGCTGTTACGATGTAAAATTAGGAGATGTCTTTTGCTTAGCTTTTTAGGCTTGCCAGCCTGTCTTTTAAAATCCCCCTGCAGGGGGGGGGGGGGGGGGGGGGGGGCTCTGAATACTGGCCACTACCCTGTTTTGGGCAGGATCGTCGGATGGGCTCTGCATTACAACTGACAGCTTCATAATCCATGATATGAAACATAGGTGACAGCTGAACTGAGGAATGTTCATGTCACCTGGCTGGTAGGGTTTATGAGGTTCCAACTTTTCAAGTCCCTGGGGAAAAAAAAAAAACTCCTCTTGATTAGGGGGGTGTGATTTCACACAGGCCTTGGGACCAGGAGTCTGCTGCCTCTATGGGGGGGGGGGGGGCTTTGTAGCACTGGGCCCCCTGCTGCTCCAGCCTGCCAGCAACTTTTAACACTTATACATCTGTCCCTGTGCCTCTCAGGAAGGGAGGGGGTAGGAAATAAAGGATTGAGGAATACTTCTAATAAAAAAGGGGAACTCCACATCCAACTCTGATGAGCAAGTTTGCTACAATGGCAAAAAAAAAAAAAAAAAAAAAAAACAAACACAACACTAAATGAATCAATTTCAGTTAAACGCTTGCATAAAGCAAAGAAATTCTTTGCTATAAAAGCAATCAAATTGTGAAAAACAAAATACACACACACACACACACACACACACACACACACACACACACACACACACTGGTCACTTTCCCAAAGTAGTACAATGTTACTATGGTAACATTACTTTGGTCATAGTGTAATATGAAAAAAAGTAGTAAAATAGAAAAAAATTATCCATTTTTTGTACTGTCACCAGCGTCCCTGATCACCGCCACGCCAGTTCTATGCTGACGTTGTACTGCACAGGTGACAGTATGTAAAAAATTGTGAATACATTTTTTAATTTCTTAATTCTCTGAAAAAATTACAAAAATTACAACTTCAAAAAAACTCTACATGCCTTATAAAATACGTTTGCTTGTCTACTTTGCAAAAAGGGGTCATTTGGGGGAATGTAATGTTCTGACATTTTTGGACCTCAAGAAATTAGATTGGCTGTCAGTACTTCAGGACTGATCAATTTTCAGATATATACCATAGTTTGTGAACTAAACTTTCCTACAGACTAAATACTGATTTGGGTTATTTTCTCTAAAGAAGTTTAGCAGAATAAATCTTGGGTTAAAATGTATGAATTATTTGCAAACTTTGAAAAAGTTTGAAGGAAAAAGAAACAAAACAAAAAAAAAAAAAAACGTTTGTTATTAATCTTTAATTTAGCAAAAAATAAAAACCCGGTCACATCAGGTGCAATGTGGCATGCGACTTGCAAATCGTATGTCAAGTCACACCCTATTGTCCACTATTAGCAGTCTGACTTGGTAGGAGCCACACACTACTTTGCTGCGGCGATTTGTATAGACATCCTTGCCAGATGTCTCGCAAATCACAGCCAAAACTGGCATGTCACCCGACTTTGAAATCGTGCAACTTCACTATAAGTCACACAATTTCAAAGTCGGGCTTGATGTGACCGGGGGCTTAATGCATTCTATGCATTGAGGTAAATAACCTGAGGTAACTGCACCCCCCCCAATACTTACTCGAGCCCAATCCTGACCCAGTGTTGTGCATGAGAGCAGCGGTTCTCTTGGCTCCTCTTCTCATTTGACAGAAAGGCAGCAAAAGAATGGAGCTATTGGCCAGGAGCACCGTTTGGGGACCAGAGAAGATTGAGCCTACTCTGCAAAACCATTACACAGAGCAGGCAATTCACCTAACAGCATGTCTTTGGAGTGTGGGAGGAAACCGGAGTACCTGGAGGAAACCCACACAGGGAGAACATGCAAACTCCAGGCGGGTGGTGCTCTGGTTGGGATTTCAGCAAAGCATTTTGAAATTGCAGGCGGAATCACAGCGATTCAAATGCCATAGTGTGAATGGGGCCTTAAAGAAAAAATACCTAATGAATTTGAGTTAAATAACTCATGCAGTATTTAAAGAGTCTATTCACAAAATAAAAAATTTACTGAATGCGTTAAATAGTGCTTAACCACTTCCCGACCGGCCGTTGCATATAAACGGCCGGACGGTGGCAGTACAGGGTCGGGTGGCCGTTTATATGCAACGCGCGCGCGCGCAGCACCGCGATCCGGTGCCCGCTGTGTCCTCCGGACACAGTGAAACACCGATCGTCGGACGGGACCTCTGTACGAGGTCCCGATCATGTGATCACCGATTGGCCAATCAGTGATTCACATGCAAAGTAGTAAGCAAGATGTCACTTGTGACATCATTGCTTACTACGTGTGAAATCTGAATGATCACAGAGGTCACATGGTACAAGGCTATTCACAACAGCCTTGTACCATGTGACAAGCTGTGACCAATCACAGCTCACTCTATTTCTCAATGAGTGCAGGAATGCACACAGAGAAAGAGAAATGATTGCTTCAACATCCTATATGGGTGTAAAAGCAATCATTGTAAAAAAAAAAAAAAAAAAAATCATCACCCCCCACAAGTAGTACAGTGTCACCATGGTGACACTGTACTGCTAGGGCGACAGTATGTAAAAAAAAAAAAAAAAATCTAAAAAAATAAAATAAAAAAAAAAAAAAAAAAAGTGTTTAAAAACTATAATTTTTGGTTATAAACTAATTTGTTTTTTTTTTTTTTACTAAAGATAACGAAATACATTTTGGCAACGATTTATGATGAAATATTATTTATTTGCAAAATTTTATATAAAAAAAAAAAAAAAACACTTTTGTTCAAAATTTTTGGACTTTCATTTATATAGCAAAAAAATTAAAAATCCCAGCAGTGAATAAATACCACCAAAATAAAGCTTTATCTGTCGCAAAAAAATTGTAAAAAATTTATTTGGGTACAGTGTTGCATGACTGCGCAATTGTCATTCAGAGTGTGATAGCACTGAAAGCTGAAAATTGCCCTGGTCAGGAAGGGGGTGTCCGGTTTGGAAGTGGTTAAACTGTTTTTTTAAGCATTGCTTTTACGCAATTTGTTTTTGCAGGCCAACACTGCACCGGAAGGCAATCAATATTGTAAAAACTATGAAAACATTCTAGGTTTTTTCATTCGCAGAGATCTCCCTCTGATGAAATATATTACAATTTATTTACACTCCCGAGCTCAGAGGAGAACATTTTCAAAAACGGATACATTCTATACTTTTCACTTCCTGGCCTGCGCAGAGTTTCTCCAAGGCTCCATACATACTAGGTGTTAATGCTGGTAACATTAGCTATGTAAAGTTAAGTTAAAAAGAAAAAAAAAAAAAAAAAAAAAAAAAAAAGAAGACGTTTTGGCATTTTTGCATTAGCATTTAGGTTCTTTAACTTTTTTTGATTGATCCCACCCCAAAAAAAAAAAAAAAAAAAAAAAAAAACAAACTCCTCTAGAAACTAGTTCTGGGATTTCCAGCCAAAAATCACTGATTACAGTCCATGTGTGCATGGACCCATAGGATAACATGCTGGGGAGTTTACTGGCTGAAGAAAAAAAAAAAAAAAAAAACAAACAAAAAAACAGCAGCTGTAATAAACATCCAGTGTGCATGAGGACTAATAGTTTTTTACATTTCTAAAATACAGCCAACAAACGCCCGATGATAAACAAATGCGTTTTGTGAATTGACTTCAAATGGATTTCTCTCATGTTTGTGGAATTTCTCACCATTTTAACAAATGTGCAGTATTTATACCACATTCAATATTTTATTTTGATGAATTGACTGTTCTCATGTGATTTCTGAAAAAACAGTCATGTGAACTTCAGTGAATTGACCCCATTGTGTCAGCAAGTGCTGCATGAGCAAGATGTGTCATCTTCAGATGTGCAGAGAAATACAGTTCTGGAGGCTGCTTTGGGGTAGCACTACAAATACATACTGCATGTGTGCAGTTCATTGGTGTACCAATCTAGTATACATAAAACACAATTACTAAAATATAAAGGCTTTAATATGGTTAAAATTTTAAAAAATTCATTACCAATGTGTTTACTCTGCAGCTTTCATTTATATCCCTCCCCTGGCCTATACACTGCAAAACAGACAAAAAAAAGTAGTCCAACAAAGAGCAATACTTACACCACTTGTGGAACATCAACTTTATGTCACTAACTGTAATATTAGGTTCTACCTATAAAGATTAAAAAAATACTCATTACTAGAAACACCTAAGGCAATATAATATACTTGTGAATTATATATAATTTAATACATATGAATAGGCAAGCGCAGCTCACAGATCTCCAGAAGTATTACCATGACTCTTACCTTGTCTAGAAAGCACAACTGCCGCCTTGTTCTGCTATCTAGAATTTCCACCTGAAACCAATGATAAAATATGTACATATAAATACACTGGTAGCAATACCAGAACTGTTGAATGTTATCACTACATTTGCAGTTCCCACGTTCTGTCATTTGTACTGTATTACCATCCCAACATGCTTTAAGGCCTTGTTCACATGGGCAGATTTGATCCATGCAGGACCATGTTTTACTGGTTGTGTGCATCCCTGTGCGGCCAGTCCCATAGCTTTTTTATTTTTATTTTTTTTGGGGAGCAATGGCAGCATAGACAGCCACTGCTCCCAATGTGACATTTGTGTAGGTGCATGGCCCTGACTGCACCCAGGGCGAGTTCAGGGACACACCCAGAAGATGTTATATTGGGTGCACAGTCTTGTCTGTGCAGCTGCTGTGGCCCAATAGACAGCTATGACACTGCTGGCACAGGGAAACACCCAACTAACTGGATGCATTCAACACCTTTGCATTCCCATGGCAGTAAAACATGGTCCTACATGGGACATTGATCACAATCGCCCCATGTGAACAAGACCCAAAAGTGTGTAGTAAACAAAAAAGTGTCCACACCAACATGGCCCTAGAACCCTGAAAGCAGATTATCTCCGTCTAGGACAATTCAACAGTAGCCAGAGAGCATATTCTTCCATGAGATTATGCTGGACATTTATCCGACTAAAGCTCACCACACAATCTGGCTGCACAATCTTTAGATTTATTAACTATGCAGTGCAAGTGTTTGCCTGATTGGATACAAATTGATTACAGTTAGATAGGTGCTCAAAATGATAGTTTTGGTTATACAAATATTGTATGGTCAAATTGTAATTTGTATGGTGACCAAAACCCAAACCACAAAAAAAATCCACAGTAACAAGCCATGTCCCAGCCAGATAAAAGGTCAATTCTAAACACGTTAGAATAATAGTACCTACCACATACCTAACAGTAAAATCTAAACCCATAACAGTAAAATCAGTCTGTATATGCAGTAAAGCATGCTTGTTATACTCACCGTGGAACCTAAGGGGTTAATCCTCCACATTGTGAAAAAGGCAGTTTGATCCAGTCTTTGATCCTTCCCTTCTACTATCCCCAATCCATCTGCTGATCGTACAGAGCTCTAGGAGGCACTCTAGCAATACACGCTGAACTGAGCATGTGCAGAGTTTGTTTTTACTTTAGGAGGGTGCATGTGATCAGCACAGGGCCAATCAGTACTGTCCAGACAGAGGGTCAGGGGTCCAGCAACCTCATAAGACAATCAAGGGAGAATGAAAACTCCTACAAGATTAGCCAGTACTCAGCTGGACACAAGACTGCCATGTACTGCTGATGAGAAAAAAAGGTATTTAGCAATTTGCTAAAATAATTGCATTTCCATGTTGTGTGCACCGTGGGAGACCAGATAGTGAATGCAGGGCCCTAACTACAGTAACTAGTCAAGACATTTTAGTATTTTTGGATAGAGTGAGAGCTGGCCCAAGAGGAGTAGAAATTCAAAGATTTTTGTATGAGGCTGAAATGTGCAAAATAAACCATGTGATTATCAAACTTTTTAATTTCCCCCATTAAAAAGACATTACATTGCACCATTTCTGCCCATAAAAAAAGACAAATTCAGATTTCTACTAGTCTATGGCTAGCTTTAGAAGCTTTGTCAAAATGTTTTTGCCCCAGTTGGGGGATGGCAGTGAACAGCAAGACATGAGAAACCACAGGGTAAAATCATTAAGAGGTTCTAACTTTTTACAAATAAATGTATTTTAACTACTTTGATCCTCTTGGTGGGTTTTGCTTACTTCCTGCCTTAGTGCCCAGAATGGACAAAGTAAACACTTTAGTGGAAAATTACGGTGAATGCGCACTGTATTTTTGGAGTTAGTTTATTTACGGGTTTATAGGTTCATAACATCTGGTTTTGTAGCACTTAGTTTGGATTTACTGCTTATGATTCAGGTCACCCAATTTGAAAACAATGCCCGCCTCGTGTGGCCAATACCTACTCACTATGGCTGATAAAATGCATCCAGAAGCAATTTGTTAGTTTTGGGCAGAAGTGTTAGAAACTGTCATTTTTAGTGACGTCTGTGTGCCCAGTAGGAGGGAGATTCACCCTACTTGTACTAGTCACCACTGTCAAACTGAAAATCTGACCATCTGTTACTGAAAAAAAGGGAAGGGGTGTGATAACTTCCCAATGGGAACACTTGTTTCACTAAGAACAGTTTAAAAAAGGACGTTCCTTCACTAGAGAGATATTTTTCACGTCATTGCGTCTCTGGGACAGTAAAAGAAAACAAAAAATGTTCCCAATAGGACACAACTCCCTGAAGTCACTAGTAGGCACTGCTACTTCAGTGATCTCCACTAGGATCCAGGACCTGTGCCAAGTGGCTGCCCTGCTGCATTGTGATTGCAGGAGGTCATATGCCAAGCACAGGTGCCATTTAGAGAATGCTTTGTATTCTCATTAAAGCATTTTCTGGTTGGACAAGGTGAAGAGCAACACTGTCACTGCCCTGTCTCCACCTTGTCCAGTATGAGAATGCTTTGCATTCTTTGTGAAAATGCCAAGCGATCTCTGAATGGTGTGTGCCGAGGGGTTGCCAGATTTCACAGTGCAGTGGTTCAGCATGGGACCTGCAAGTTAGTGGATCACTAGAGTAGCTGTGTCTGTTAAAGTGTTTCCAGCTTTTAGGGATCTCACAGGTATGGTAGATAGTTAAATTGGTCTATTAGCTAGAAATATCCATACCTGAAATTCCTTAAAACATAGGTGTTATGCTCCAGACTGTACCAGACAGCATACGTACCTCTAGAAAAGGAACCAGAATCTCCTGCAACATCCACCAGCTTGTATTTAGCTCTTAAAGACATTTCTCAGCAGCAAAGTTGCCTTCCCTTGTGCTTCAACCAGGCCAAGACTTTCAGCAGAGGCCCTTCTCAGGCAAGAGAGAGAAGACCAACATAGCCTTAACTCCTGGCAAAAGTCCAAGAGGAAAGAACCTTTCTGAAGGGTCACCCCAAAGATTTCCATCCTTCCCCAGCATGCACCAATGGGAATTCTTGGCCATGGATACACATTCTTAACATACCAATTGTTTTATTATACCATCTACAGAGGAACACTCCAGGAATATGCAAGTTCCACATGGAGCTCAGGGAACATCCAACAAAAAAAAAAAAAAAAAAAAAAAAAAAAAAGAGAAGGATTTAGAACTCAGGCTACATCCTAGCTGTAACGCTAAATTTAGGAAAAATCCCTGAAATTGATTCATTAATAAACAGTTGCAATCACTTGCACAGTTTAAACACTACATCACCAATACATCAGAGTCAGACTTGACATGTTAGAGCATAAATGGGAACCTATGGGCTTTCAAAATATAGTAAACACATAGCATCTCCAGTAATTCACTGAACAAGCCATAGTCAAATATAACTGCAATGTGTTACAGTACCACCTTTTTCTCAGGTGGTTTTCAGTTTATTTCATTCTGTCTTACTACAATTACAGTGTGCATACAGATACACAATGTTACATTATACAAGACAAGAGGTAAACATGGAAGGAAGTCTTTCCAAAGCAGGATACCTCCAGTATATATTAAATATCACAAGTCTTCTGGTTTCTGAACTGGCACGGATATAGGGAATAATATCTGGCAGTCATGTCTAATATTCACAGTAGGTTTTACAAAATGGTCACAGTACAGTAATACAATCACTGCTGTTCATTCAACCAGCCTACACGCTGCTCTGCCCGAGTGCCATGGACTTAAAGCTAGCACAAGTCTTAAAAATAAGCAGAATCATGTTTATGGTCCAAACAAAGAAAGCAGCTAGCACACCACTAGATTAAACCAGTTAAAGAGCATATAAAAAAGTGCTGTGCTAATCAAATTATGTACATCATAATACAATTCTGTGCAGTAAAAACAGTTGATTAAAGAGAAGATAAAATGATGCAAAAAAGGTATTTTATACAACACTAACAAATGTCAAAAATAAAACAAGTCCATTCACCATACAATAGTGAAAAAAGTCCCACATATAGAAGATACAAAAAACACTTGCGTACTAAAAACAACAGCACTTTGTAAAACAGTTCTCCCCCGGACTGTGCATGAATCAATTCTTCGTCCGTTTGTGCATGCGTGGTGATGTTACAGCATCAATTCCACCCTACATGTGTCATCACTAACATCAGGGGCTTGGAGGGGACACCCACACACCATGCATTAAATACTGGAATTGGGCAATTCGCAATACAGTCTCGGGAGTACTCCATAATACAGAGCGTTGTGTTGATATTATGCAAGTAGTTTTAATTTAATAAACTATGTATGGTTTTATGCTATGTGGAGCATCTGGCTCTTTTCTAGGTCTCCTATATGATGCTGTGAATTGTGAGACCACGTTGTCTAGTGGGGGGACAGGCTGCATCAACCCAAGAGCTTTATGACTTGACTCTGGGGTCATGGCTTTGCAGTATTTTTTTTTTTTTTTTTTTTACAGACGAAAGTGGAACACATCCAACTGAACCCCTTTTTTATCTTTGCACATGGTTTGCACTGGGATTATGGGACTTCACAATTTTATAGTGAATGGACTTTTTTGTAACACTTAGTATATGCAGTAGCACGTTTTGCCTGCACGTGGGCTAATGAAGCTGAGAATTTTTAATAAGCTTCCCAGAAGTCCATACTATTATCTATGCAGGAATAGAAAAAACCCCACACCACAAAAACCACAAACCAAAAACACTCGCCACGGAGGTTGACAGCAGCAGATGTAAAGGAAAGATCCTGTTTTTCCATAGAGATACATTGATGGCAGTTCATCAATTAAGAGATGGATGAAAAAAAAAAAAAAAAAAAAAAAAAAACCACAAACTGCATGCCCATGTGAAAGGGGCCTTAAAGCTAAACTCTGGGATAAGCAAATATTGTCACAAGGAGGCATGTGTACACTTACTTGAATCTGTGCATCTCTTCTAGATCTTTACTGTAATCCATTGTGGA